GACAGAGGAGAGGGATGATGCTTTGGCAGTGTGCAGTTCCTCAGAGACAGCAATGAGAGCAGTTTCTGTGGAGTGACCTGCCTTGAAACCAGACTGGTGCGGATCCAGAAGGTTGTTCTGATGGAGATAACAGGAGAGTTGTTTAAAGACAGCGTGTTCAAGTGTTTTAGACAGGAACGGGAGTAGAGAGACAGGCCTGTAGTTTATAACATCAGACGGGTTGAGAGTGGGTTTCTTTAGGAGAGGGTTTACTCTTGCCTCCTTAAGACTATTTGGAAAGTGACCAGAAGTTAGAGAAGTGTTGATGAAGTGGGTGAGAAACGGTAGAATATCAGGAGCGATAGTCTGAAGGAGGTTTGAGGGGATAGGGTCCAGACGACAGGTGATAGGGCGGGCAGAACTAATGAGGGTAAGAACCTCACTTGGAGAGAGAGGGGAAAAGGAGGTTAGTGTGTGGGTGAAAGGAGGATCTGGTGACCCAGCAGTGAGTAAAGGTGAGTCAGAAAAAGAAGAGCGAATATCATCAACCTTTTTTTCAAAGTGGTTAACAAAGTCGCTTGACAGAAGGGAGGAGGGGGAAGGGGCTTTGGGGGGGTCCAAGAGGGTGGATAAGATTAAAAATAGTTTTTTGGGATTGGAATAGGAAGATTGGATCTTATCTTGAAAGAAAGTGCTTTTTGCCTGAGAGATCGAAGCAGAGAAAGAGGAGAGGAGAGCCTGATAGGTTAGGCCCTAATCCAAAACATACGCGCTCTCGCTAAACGGTAATACGACCCGGGTTATCAAGTGGATCGCTCAAGCCAGCCGTGTCCTATCTAGTTAGGTGCACGTTCACATGAAAGAGGTGGTATTTGGAGCATTCGACCAATCACAAACATGGAGAAGCGTACTGACAGCGCAGCGTCATACTTCCTGAATGAAAAGTCAACTATAATATTAGACATATGAAGAAGTTAAACTTTAAACATCCATGACTTAAACACTTTATCCAGGATAAAAGCCACATAGCTGCACCTGCAAGGTGAATACAGCTGCTATCAGAAAAGGTGTTTGAATGCGTACATTAACAGGTTTATGATATTACTGAGACCCGTCTAAGACACGATCTGACTTTAATTACATTTGACTCGAGTGTTTCGTCAACTTAATGTGTTGCTTAAAATAATACTTCTGCATACAGTATGTGACACTGTGAGTGTTGCACGGCCAGATACGGCTCAGCTGACTCAGATAAGGAAATATATGATACATTATGATGTGATGTGATATGAATGATAATGGGACACATCAACATCTGCACTCACAGTGCCGCGGACTGTAGGCAATGTAATGTTACTTTGATCCGGTTACTTATGTTGTGGCAAATATTTAATTAAGCTTTCTTAACATAATAGTATAGTTATAATAGTCAGACTACTCTGAAGATGGGAGGTGATGTTCTATTCATTTTCACGTTCACACAGTCGGTGATTTTGGCCGGCCGTCTTTCCTGCAACGGCAGTTTAAACTGTATTTCCTCCGCACACTGAGCTCTGATTGGTCAGCAGGCGTGGTGCTTTCGCTGAGTTGATCTCTTATCCTGGAACCTATCCTGCTTTGGAGCACAGACTAGGTTCCAGGATAAGTCACCATGGAGATCTAGCCCGCTAAAAAGTGAACCAGCTTCGTAGTACGGGAAATCCCAGAAGTTATCTTGCTAAACGAAAATCCTGCTTTGTAGTATACCCCCCAGGTTAGCCGCTCAGCATAAGTTACCATGGAGATCTAGCCTGCTAAAAAGAGAACCAGCATCGTAGGACCGGAAACCCTGAGTTTTCCCTGAAGTTAGCCGGCTAAGCGAAAATCCTGCTTCGTAGTACAGGCCTCTGATATTAATCCTACACTGAACAAATATTATATTGAAGCCAATTAACATTGCAGCCAATAAACAAACTGCATAGTTGTCATGACAATATTCATATCAAATAGAAAAGGTAATTTAAATGTACAAAGAGGTGTGTATACTTCTCGTCTAGTTATGTTGTACAATGCTGCATTAATTTGGGGTCAATAGGTCACATATGGAAGCTATTGCAACAAAAAAAAAAATGTTTTATTTGTTAGTTTTATATTAATCTAAAAAAAAAATTGACTAAAATCCACAAGAAAAGAGGTTCCGACAGTTAGTGAAGCAGAACTAGAAAACACAAGTGAATATCAATCCAATATCCAACCTAAATATACAATTATTTTGAAGCAAAGCGGAATTGAATTTTTTTTACTCTGTCAGGCTTGAAAATAACAGATAACTCTATCTCCTGTGAACTTTGGACTAAAAGGGGTCCCTGTACCCTTACCCAGTGGCGGTTCTAGAACATTTTACATGGGGGGGCAAAGGGGGGGGCAAGAGGTCATGCCAGGGTGGCATGGGAGGGCGGACAGTACGTGGTATTTTATACTGTATATAACCTATTTATTGTTAATTCATGCCCTAACAAAAGTGTTCTTAATGCACAAGAGAAACAAGGTGTTCAGACAAACAATCGGGTGCCCTTTGAGTCCCCCAAGCTAACCTCAACCATTTTAAATGAAAGGAAACTACAAAATGTATTTTAAAGCAATGAATTAATGGAACAGGTTTTTTTGCATTACAATGTCAAACTAAATATATATTTAGTTTTTAAAAAAATTGGTTTTCTTAGTATTAGACAGACATATTTGCATGTCCTCACTAAGCATTATTACATATTAATTTAATATCAAACAAATCAAAATGGCCAATTATCCCAAAATGTTGCTGCTAATATAATCATATGCTTGTCAACTTTAACTGATCAAAAATAAATTCTGAAAAAATACTTGAATTATCTATGAAATTGCAATATTGTCCCTCAGTTTGTTTCAACCCCGTCACGCCATACCATTTACCCTCCTATTAAAATAATGGATCAGTCCATGTGTGATCTGCATTGAGGGAATTACATCACAAAAGTGTCCGTTTCTTCTCTTACCTATATTTCAGTTTTTGTATTTTCAGATTAAGATTGACAAGCTCAACATTTCAATTTATAATTAAGTACACAAATGACATCACCCATCTCTTCAGAGAGCTACAGGTGACCTGTGCAGCAACACATTTCAATCAATATTTGTCAATACTAAGAGCTGCTAGATTGTGCTGCTGTGATGGAATATGTAAGGAGAATAAGAACATACCATGTGGTCCAGCTGGAGTTTCATCTGCCTCCTGATCCCTGCCTCTGTCCCTCTTTCTGACACTTGATCTTTATTCCTCACATACATTTCTTCTTCTTCACTAATGTCTTCATCTCCTCCTCTTCCTCCTGGTCTCTTCATCTCCTCCTCTTCCTCCTGCTCTGACCCTCCTGGTCTCTTCAGTGAACTCTCTTTTCCTTTTCCTCTTTCTGTTCGTCCTGATCACTTCTCATATGCCTTTGTGTTGTTGTTGAATCACTCCTATACTCTGGCCTGCAAGAGTCTACTTGTGAAAAGCACTGGTACAAATGCTTGTATAACTTTACACGTTAGGGCCATGTAGCCTAGCTAATATGTAGCATATCATATAACATTAGAAAGTATTGATTAAGCGCACACAGGCAGCTGTGTTTGGATCCAGTTTTTACAGTAAAGGATGTATCCTGTTTCATTGATCTGGCCTCATGGCTGTGATGTGTAGTTTACGTGGATGTAATAGGCTACCGCGTAGTTTAGCAAAGTGATCGATCTTCCAGCTAACGCTGTCTGCGTAGTATTTTGTAACGTAACGCCCCAAACAGCGCCCGTCTGTTAAACGCTATCGATTCAAACGGCAGCGTTTTATTAATATTTAGTTTCAAGCTCTCGTCCTTAGTAAAAACAAAACTAGTGGAAAGGGAAATGCTCCCAGGGGAAGCTGATCCATAGGTGCTGGGACAGCTCGCTCCCTCTCTGCAGCGGTGTGAGCCGCGGTCTGTGTGAATGCCGCTCCGCAGTTTAATGCAGGGCCGTAGCTGCGTTTTTAACGGGACTAAAATTATATTTAAAATGATACACTTTTAACTAATGTAATGCTTGTTTTGTTGCTTGAGAAGCTTGTGGAAATAGTGTAGGTTTGTTTTAGTACAGTTTTAGGGAAACAAAAGTTAGGGGGGCAAGGCTCAACAGTGGGGGGCAAGGCTCAACAGTGGGGGGGGGGGGGGGGCAGTAGATCGGCCCCTGCCCTTACCTAGTCTATAGTGGATGAGTCCTCCGTTGTAGAAAGGTGTCTCATAGCTGCTGTCACTCTGTATCGCTAAAGAGAAGTCCTCCACCGCTTCACCTAAATCCACCCGGCGGTACTTTATCTGTCCGCGGTTGTTGTAAGCAGTGGCCAAATGACTGGCTTTACAATCCCTGTGGAAATATGACAGCATTGAAAGTCTCTTAAACAATACATGTAATGAAATGACAAAGTGACAGAACACGATGGACGTTAGCTTTAACCGGTGACACAGAATACACTGCAACACTAGTATAGACATCGCCAACAATTGAACAAAGAGTACCTGGACTGTAAGTAGGAGATACACTTTGTATACAGTTGTTCTGCACATTTGAAGTTCTAGTTTTTAAACTCAGAGTGAGCATTTTCAAGTATTTGAGGGTTGTCTTGCTCCATTGGCTGTGAATTCTGTTAAGGTTTGTTGTGTTCCCTAAAGGCGGAAGTGACAACACGCCCAATCATGTTGTAGTGCATCTCAAGTAGGCGGGGCAATAACAACTTCAGAACGTCTTTCATTTAGCGCCTAAATCAACTTATCATTTTTAGTTGTTTATTATATAGGATATCATTGCTACATATGTTGATGCTTCTCTGCATTGTCTTGAAATTATGAGGGTACTGGTTGACACAGAACCTGCTTTTATTAATACTGTATGTCCCTTAAAATTGACCACAGAAGATGCAACACATTGATAAAAGAGACTATATAAATAAATGTGGCTTTTTTTTTTATTAGTTTATTTTTTTTTAAATACACGAGTCGTTACTGTCATCCATCAATATAAAAGGCAGTACAGTACATTAATTGATAAAACTGTTACCCTTGTCCCAAAGAAAACAATGAACAAAATTACATAAGGTGCAAATGACAAAATGTAAACACTTGTAGAAAATATTCAAAGGTTAGCCAGAATAATTGCCCCAGAGGAGATCTGCCTTTGGCGTGTTGAGTCGGTGCTTCTTCGCTCTGGAAAACAAGTAAAGATTACCAACTGCACATCCAGATCGACTACATTTGTTCAGACTCGATCACTTACCCTTTTTTACACCTGCAGGTCTTGAGTAGCTCTGACCTGGAGGATGCACACACTGGCCTCTGCAGGAACCATCTGCCTGGCTGCTTTTGTCACAAATCACTGCATCACAGTGGACATAGATCTGTGGACGGACAGGATGATTTATTACACATGGCTACATGCAGCAGTGGCTAAAAGACTCCAGATTTGGATTTACAAGTCTTACCTGGTCTTTCAGAACCTTGTCATCTTTAGTGAAAGTGAACATCTTTACAGAGAAGCGCTTGATGTGGGACGGGACTAAAACTCTGGAGTCACTCACAACGGGATGGAAAATTGTTGCATAGCTGTCATTGCGATTCTCACAGCTGGTGAAGGAATTTGAAAGTTAATAAAGCAGCAGTTAAACAAATGAAATGAGTTGTTAGTAGTTAGTTTTGCACAACATTACCTGTCCACAATGATGTCCCAGCTTGGCAGAGATGTCCCATCTTCATAAAGGGTTGCCCAACAGTTCTCAGCAATGAGTTCCAAGTGCGGGTCGGTAGAATGCATCAGCTCCACCTCAAAATACAGAGGCTGCTGCAGATATTTCACCACTGGATAATCCTCTGCTTGGTAGAAGCGCTCGTAGGATGGATCTGCAGGAGAAGAGTCCCGTTAGAGAAAGGAGGCCTGGACATTTACAGTTTCATTTCAAACCTTTATTTAATCAGATCGGTCCCTTGAGATCATAGATCTCTTTTTCAAGGGAGACCTGCAAACAGTGTTTTGTATGCATGAACAAGATGTTGTAAAATTCCACCATGCCTTGGGAAAGCCTCATCTGCACCATCAGCTGGCCGGTGCCGATCTCTGCAGCGGGCTCATAGGTTCTTGGTTTAGCGCTGAAGGCAACATTCTGAGTCTCATTGACCACATAAAAGCAGGAAATAGTTTGCCTATTAGGGGAAAAAATAAAATATATAAATGCATACATTGAAGGTGTTCAGCTCCAATTATACAGAATCAAATATTTTACCTGTAATCAGGATCAACTGGTGATGTGTTGGCTGCTCCTTTGGCGTTGTTGTAAGACAGGCGGATCTCATTTTCATACATCATGTAGTTGTCAAAGAACTATTTAACAACAAAAACGCATTAACATTGACAAAAAACCCTTTTGATATTTAAATGTGATTCACACTCACCGTTCTGGTGGTTCCACAGGTATCCACACTGAAGGAGAAATATGCAATGCGATCGTCGCTGAACTGTGGTGTGCAGGACTGGTCCTTTAGCGTCAGCTGACTTGGCTTCAGATTACGAGTCGATTCAACCTTCACAGCCACAGCGGTCATTGTGCCATTGGGGTGGCACTCTGGAGGAAAAAGCAGGCAATGTGTAAAGCAACACAAATCCATCAATTAAAGCAGCAAATATACTTACATGTTCCATCTTACCTGTTGCTTTTAAGGGGAAGTAGCAAGCCAGATAGAGATCAGCAAGCACCCAGTCGTTTGCACGATCCAACAGAAGCAGGTCAATTCTGGATTTGACTGATTCTGCAGTGAGCAGCTGTGGAAAAGAAAGTAAAGTTAGCCAATGTAGAAGATCTATGGTGGGATTTTGTAGTTTTGACATACCTCGAAAACAGCGTCCTTGGCAGTGTATGGCAGAATGAGGCTGAGGTGTGTGCCATTCTCATAGAAATTGTAGTCTTCAGCCATCTCAGCCGTCAGCTCTCGAGGTCCAACGATAGCCTTGAAATTAGAGCCGTGACTCCCGAACTTCACGCTGATGTAAAACTGGTTCTGGTCACAGGTGCCAGCCATGATGGGTAACACTAGAGCAGCAAAACATGCATTATCCATTTGATTGTGTAGCTTTTACTCTTATATATGTTTTATTTAATTTTAGAAAACACAATTTGCATGAAGATATTGTCAAAAGCAAATTCAATATGATCTCACCAACATCCTGCAGAGAGGCATGCAGGTCGACCGGGAGAGCAAAAGGAGTTTCTTCAGGCAGGACGATCAACCCAAAGATCAGAGGGAGGAAGTAGGATGTAACCAAGCGCTCAGGATTCTGCAACAAATGAAATAAAAGCTCAGCAACACTGAAAATATGCTGGTACAAAGTGATATTTTGAATCTATAATGTCATACATGTTTTAAGACAACATCGGCATCAAAGGGCACTTGAAGAGAGAAGCTCTTGGAGCCATTAGCCAAGCTTCGTTCCTGGACTGTGAAGCCTTTGGCATTGCTCTCCTCAACAGTAAGGACCCCGGTGGAGAAGGTGATGTTCCTCAGCTCAACGTCATGGAGGAAGGTTCCCAAGAGAACGCTGAACACCCGAGTCTCTGGGACAGTGTCTGAGGAACAGAAAGTGGCAGGTTTACAACTTCTAAACCAGCCTCAACATTGATAGAGAAAAATTGAGTAGTTGGATTGAGTGCTATTTAAAAAAACTAAAAAGTACCCTTTGTAAGCAAAAGTAGATTTTGTACTTGGCTTCAAATCCCATCCAAACAACATTTTGCAAAAACTGAAGACTTTATTTAATGGGTTTAGCAGTCTTTAGGATATATCCAAGCAAGCCCGAGTTCAAATGTCATTTTTTTCATACCTACTAGAAAATGTGACTTACCATCCTGGAGTTGGGGAGATTGAGGCATCAGAGGGGTCATGATGGGGAACAAAACCTTGTATCTGGTATCATCTTGGGTGTCATCTTCTCTCCACAGTACCTCAAGCATGGGCTCCACAAAGTAGGTGATGTGGTACTGGTAATCTGGGGCATGGCTCTGCAATAATTCATGACATTTCAATAAAACATGCAAATGCACTAGTGACCAGGGTGGGAATTTCACGACGGCCACGACGGCCATGGCCGTCGTTGCCCCGCACTTTGGCCGTGATGCCCTGTGAAAAAAAATGCAATTCACGGCCAAAGTGGCCTTGGTGCCCCTGTCAAAAGTTCCAGTGTAAACAACGCTAGTAAAGTCATATTAGTGCGCGCAGTAGGATAGTCCCGGGCGATGCCTGTGCCCTGTGGATCAGAGCGATTGCTCTGCTGTGATTGTTCCGTCAGAAATGCCTGTAGGGGCCCGACAGCCTCCTCCTCAGCCGCGGGAGCAAGACAAGCACAGGTAAGCAAGCGGACCAAGCTGTTTTGATATGATTTAACTGAAGTATGTGGTAGTATTTGAAAGGACTTAACATTTACGTGTTTATAGAAAGTACTATTGATAGGTAATTACCATTGTATTAGCCTATTTAAAATTGACTCGTTACATTTTGTCATGAAAACTAGCGATAGCTAGTTTGTATAGCGCTAACGTCTTCCCTTCAAGGGGTCTACATCTAGTGTTGCTTCTACAAGCTAGCAGATAGCTGTCACCTTTGAATCTAGTATTTTTCTTGCTAAGCGGTTTTGATATAATACATGACTGACTTATGTGGTTTATGGCTGAACTTAACGTATACGTTAAAGAAACACTATTGCTATTCAGCCATTTGTAAAACGACTGGTGTTGACGTTAGTGCTACACTTTTCAGTCATGTTGATTGACCAGCGTAATTTAACCAAACGGCCTTTGTGCCCTGTCATGTGGCCTTTGTGCCCTTGAAAAAAATGTGAACGGGAAGGCCAAATGGCCTTGCCCCTAAAATGACGAAATTCCAAGCCTGCTAGTGACTCTTGCATTTCTAATCTAGAGATTTCCCCAACCTTGTAGTAACCATCAGGCGAGCCCACTGGGATCTCGACGATGATGTGGAAGTCTGTGGTGCTCAGTGTGTACCCCCGTGCGGCCATCTGAGATCTATCAAGCCTCTGCCCGTTGATTCCCATGTGCATTTCTGAGACTGTAATTCTGCCGTCCAACAGAGGAGTCACACGGCGAGGTACGTGCCAAGCGATCATATCCTCGGTGAAGAGGACGCCACCTGTTAATGACAAAATGGAGCTGTTGAGGTTAACTGTGCAACAATTAAGCTTACTGTGAAGGAAATATGTTGCTCAGGACTCACCTTTGGGACAAGCAGCTGCCAAGTTCACTACATTCAGACCCTGTGGTGCCATGTAGTAGGCGCTCACCATGAAAACTTCCATGGGGACTCCAGCCACCTAAAGAGAGGAGAGGTTTAATATAATTGACAAGGAGGGAAAGGAAAGAAACACTGTATAGGAGTGTGTTGCTTACATCCTCTGAATAAGTCTCTGCTGTATTGTACGGGCTTCGCATAACCAGACGACTAGAGGTAGTTTTGGCAGCGTAGCCGGCTTGTTCAGCCTCTTGCAACACCATGGCCACTGGTTCTGGGGTGTAAAACGTCATCTTCCAGATACCTTGTGATGCACCAGAGGCCTACAGGAAAGAACAAATAATAATTAAATCCTCATTGGTGTAGGGAGGAATTAAACTGTAGTATCTGAACAGTTTAATTCAACATACTTCAAGATTGGCGTTGAGCTTCTCGTCTTTACCATCCCGAGTCTGACCCTTAGCTTCAGCATCAAGGTTAGCCATGTGATGCGAAACCTAAAACAGAAAATGGTGGTTTTAGCATTCGTTTCCATACCAACAAGATGGTGGACTCATCAATGTAAAGATGACCTACTTCCATGTAGTTCCTGTCGCAGAGGATCTCCCTGGAGGCCCAGCGAGTGTAGCTGCAAGTTTGAGACACATCATGACTGACCACGTCTGATGGATTCTCGCCGTACATCTTGAGTCTCAAGCCAACGTTAAATGTAGCATCATCCTATAAATATAAAAAAAACTAAATTAAGTGAAACTCCCTAATATTCTTTGGTTCCAGCTTCTTTGTCATTGAAAATGTAATATCCTTGCCTTTAGGGACACATTTGAAGTCTAAATGGATATTTGTGTATGTAACAAACAAGTCAAGAAAGTACCTAGTAGATTAATTGAGGAATACAGTTTTGAGTGGAACAGTGCTAATATTTTAGGGATGTACCAAACAAAAAGGGAAATATACTTTGGGTCTTTTAACGGTAAAGGGTTACAAATAAATTCAGGGAAACACAAAAATGGGAGCAACCATGTGTTTGTTGAGCCATTAATTCAGTCACTTGACAGAATTAGCACAGCTAAACTTGGTAGAAAATTACATTGAATACTGTTAAACCACTTTAGCTCAAAACAAACCTTGTTGTCCACAAAGCAGCCCATCAGGGAGGTGTAGATTCTGGTGTTACCCCACGGGTCAGACTCCATGCTGTATCCACACTGAGCAGCCATGCTAGGTGTTAACAAAATGTGCTTGGTGCCATCTGAGGGGAGAAAATAAGCTTTGTCAGGGACCCCTTTCCTCAGTGATGAACCAATCAGCTGCATTATTAGCAGTTCATACTTACTGATAGCCTCCACCTCAAGCTGGTTTCCCACTGCTAAAGCCTTGTCCAACGACAGTCTCATTACATTTGCGGCACAGTCAGACCTTAACCCACTGCCTGTTAAAAGAAAAGGCTTGTGAGGAGAATGTAAACCGACTTAATATGCTGTGTAAAATGACTTAATGAGAATTGAAGCTTACTTGACTGCGAATTTAGCTTCACATTAGGCCTGGCTTGACACAAGATGATAGCTGCAACCATCCATAACAAACTTGAACACATAAAACATATCATTTAGAGACAATTAAGTACACACATAGAAATAAATCTACAAGAAATGTAACTTACATGGTCCCAAGCCTCAGCATGTTGCAGTTTGTAAGCAGTAAAACCAAAAAGAATACAGTCAGTATCAGAGCTTGGCAATGTCCAGCACACCTTCCAACAAAAACACAAGTCTAAAATGAAGGGGACTGGACGATTAACTGAGACATCAGCAGCTGCTTTATATTCCACTTAACGACAAAGCACAGGTGAGGCTTGTTAAGGATTCTCCACACACACACACAGACACACAGACACACACACACACACACACACACACACACACACACACACACACACACACACACATTAGGGTTGTGGGTAGTTCATACACATGTTCACACCTGGAAGCTTCCCAGCACAGTACCACAGTTTTCTAGTTTATTATTGCACATTACAATAGCACCTATATTACTGATAATGTACATGTTAATGTAAAACACACACACACACACACACACACACACACACACACACACACACACACACACACACACAGGGTGAGCTGATGTATGCCTAGTTTATTAAGAACATATTGTAAAAACATATGTATGGAAAGGAAAAACACAAATGTTTCAGTAGTGTAAAAAAAGTATTTATTGTTCAGCAAAAGTAGATTTGTATTTGATATTATACATATATTACTTTTTTATATTTGAAGAAGCAACAAAATAATCCACAGTTAATAATAAATTAAACTTTCCTTAAAATCACATGTGCTTTTGATTTTTCCTTTGAGCCTCCTTATAATGACTGTAATCTAACACTTGATTATTGTTTGTATATATTCTCAAACCACTAAGGATGCACTAACATTTATTACAGATAGTAAAACCCGAGCTTATCGTTTCACCCGGGTCGATTTTTCTGCTCGGTCCAATTATGCAATGATATATGTTCATTTATGAGGCCATAACAATATGTTCCAACTGGAAGAGTGTTGAGTCAGTGCAGAAGAAGGAATAATCAATGCTCTGCTTAACAAAAACCATATTAAAATGTCGCACCCATCCCTGTGGGATTTCTACTTGGTTTCATAGGTTCAAACTGAATGTTTTTGCAGCAATAGTTTTATTTTCATTGTTTCTGTTCCTTGTGTAGGTTATTTTTTATGTGGTTTGTGTTTACTTTAAGGTTCATCTTCATTCTGATATCTTTAATCAAAGGATTCATGTTCAGATCAAATACAATTCCAATTTTCTATACGATAGCTGTACATTATTGTAAATAATTTGACAAAACTTGACAGATTGTTTCTTCAAGCCAACAGATTTCAGGATTTATAAAAAGGTATATTCTATAGTTTATGGAGTTGTCAGTGTCCCCTGTCTATCTTGTGCTGCTGGTCCAGGGGCCTGTACTACTTACCTGGCTCAACCTAACCTGGATATGTTTGAGTTAGCCGGTTGGCCTGGGGTCATCATGGTGTTTGGATTTCCACCGTTTCCGCTCTGCTGCCCTAAGGATGGTTCTATTAGCACGCAGTGCGTCATTTAGCCAGGGAGCAGGAGGGGACTGACGAGCCTGCCGAGATGTGAGAGGACAGAGCGAGTCCAGAGAGGATGAGAGAGTAGAGAGTAGAGTTTCTGCAGCAGAGTTTGGAGGCAGAACTTGGAAGGAGTCAGAGGAAGAGAGGGCTGAGAGCACCGATGAGGCAAAGGTAGAGGGGGAGAGGGAACGAAGGTTACGGCGGACAGGTGCAGGATGAGAAGAGATTAGTTTGTTATGTTTGGAAAGGGGTAGAGAGAATGAAATTAAGAAGTGATCGGATGTGTGGAGCGGGTTTACAGAGAGGTTAGAAGTAGTGCAGTTCCTTGAGAATATGAGATCAAGGACATTGCCAGCTTTATGAGTTGGTGGGGATGGAGACAGTGAGAAAGCAAAGGTGGTTAACAGAGATGTTAGTTCGTCTATCTTCCCTGTCTGGAGGTTGAAGTCTCCAAGAAGTACAGCGGGAGGGCCAGTTTCAGGGATGTGTGAGAGGAGATTATCTAATTCCTCCAAGAAGTCCCCCAAGGCGCCTGGTGGACGGTAGAGAACAACAATGGTTAATTGTATAGGATGGGTTACTCTGACGGCATGGAATTCAAAGGTGGAAGGAGTGAAGTTAGGTAGCTTGAAGAGGGAAAAGCTCCATTTGGGAGAGAGCAGGAGACCAGTGCCACCTCCTCTGCCAGTGGGTCTGGGTGCAGGGGAGAAGGAATATGCTGTGGAGAGAGCTGCTGGGGTGGATGTGTTGGATGGAGTAATCCAGGTCTCAGTGAGAGCAAGGAAATCATAATCACAGCCCCCCCCCCTCCTCCCAATTATTATTGCTATTATTATTATTATTAGGGTCTGAGACCAGAGGTCGGCGAAGACCCTATTGAAATAAACCTCCGAAACACACCCCAAAACAAGGAAAACGACCGGCAAAAGCACAGAAAAGGTTCGGAAATTATGACGGCTGATAGGCCGCGCGAGCCCAGTCACGTGGGTTTTGCATGGTTATCGCTCGCGAACAAACACAAACAGCTCCTAAAGCATATAATAAATATCAGGCTACAGCCCTTGTATATTTTATTATGTGAAACACTATATGGTTTCATGAAAAATATCTATTGTTTATTTGTAGATATCTCCTAAAGCCTACAAATAAAGTGTGAAATGTAGGCCTGGTATTATTGAGCGATATATATTATACACACTGTTCTGCTTTCTGCACTGACCTCAGCAGCTGTTTTCACTGTAAACATCGTCTCACAATGAAAGCAGTTGTATTAAAAAAAAAAATAGCCTAACATCCAGGGGAGATGTGATTAGTGAGTAAACAAACGGTAAAGGGCAGAAAGTCTGATGCACATTTGATCATCTTAAATAACTTATAATCACAACGGCAACAGTTTGCAGAGCTGTGCTTCGTTGACATAAGTCCAGCCATGCGTCACGCCTCTTTTAAACATCACTATTGGCTGAAATCGACTCCGGAGAATGTGTACTCTCGGTTATAGCTCCTCCAGAGAGACTCCTCTCTCCTCTACATCTTTGTACCCTCGGTTATAGCCAGGGCTGCACATAACTGGTGCGCAGGTGCGCATGCGCACCCGCCGCGAAAAAAGGAGCACCGGATCATTTGAAAAAAGGCGCATTTGCGCACCAACATTGAGAGAGAGAGAGAGATATTTGCGAGTTGCATATGAACGGGTAAGATAGCAGGGTTTCCCACACATAGACTTTACCTGGGCGGGCCACCCAGGTATATTAACGGCCGCCAAAGTATAATTCGTAAGCCGTTTAGGTTTGATTTTTTTAATCCGTCCGCGAGCACGACGGCATCTGTCGATCCCTCGCTCTACCCCCTCGCTATCGTGTGAAGGGTCTGCTTTATGCACTCCGCACAGTAACCCTGCTGCGAGGCTCCGGTGAACAGTCCATGAGCGTGCTCACTAGCGCAACTCCCCCCCCCCCCCCCCCGTTTATAAAGTCAAGTACCCCTCAAAAGGTCCCGTTTATTTCATTTTAAGGATGCGCACCAAGCAACATCTCCAGGTGCTCCTTTGAGAACCAGGGCAAAAACGTTGTGTGCACCCCAGGTTATAGCTGCTCCATAGAGACTCCTCTCTCCTTTCTCCTCTAAATCAGTGTATCCTCGGTTACGGCTCCAGACAGCCTCCTCGATAGGTTAGGTTAGGTTAGGTTCCTAAGCTAAATGGACTATTGGAATGCAACCTGGGGTTGCGTTCCAATAGTCCATTTAGCTTAGGAACCTTCCTAACCAAGTGAAATTACCCGGCAGTACGTCAGTGGCAGCCATGTTAAGTGCCGTTCCAATTCTCCAAATGAAAGGAAAGGAGGTTTCAAGCTTCCTTTATAACCTCCTTTAGCTTAGGAACCACTGGACCTCCCTTGACGAAAGGAGAGGAGAAAATGCTGCCCCACAATGCATTGCAGCCGCAGCATTTGCCGTCACTCAACAGTCGGCCGTTCACGGAAACAACCGATTATGACAGAGAATTTATATCATGAAAGTTACGGTGCTTATTAAGCATTTTAAAACGTATGTGTTAAGTTGCCAAAGTGCTTTGTTTTGAACGTTCATCAGTATTATAATCAAAAAGAGAAATATGAACGTTAGTTTTTACTGAAATTATCAAATAAAGTCAACATTTCACAGTCTTTACTGAGCTGTGTGGGGTTTGTTCAACTTTTAAAATATGTTTGAATGGTGATATACACAGTGATAGATGTTAAGGACTAACGTTTATAATAAATACATCTGTATTGATTTTAAGATATGTTCATAGTTCATACAATCATACGTATTGGGATCATTTGTATTAATGTGGACCGGAGGGAGAGGGTGATGAGCATAAGTTTCACTTTCCTTTTTTATTTCAATTCCAACTTTGGTCATGAAGAATATGTTTCTCTGTTGTCCACGTTCATAAAGCATAAAACAACAGCATCAGAGCACGGTGCAGAGTCTCTAGATGAGTTTACAGTAGTCCCTCCTTCTTATTATACATCCATGTATTAGTCCGCTATAGAAAACTGTAGTTTCCATAGTTTCCCCACAGCAGCAGACGCACATTTATGACGTCCGCTGGCGCATCATAAACACGTCGGATAGTGAAAGTGCATTCAGATTCTCTAAAGTCCTTTTGAATTCTCCTATCCACTATCCCTTAACCCCGTGACGTTTCACTCAGAGGTCAAGGAATAGGAGATAGGGTTAGAATTTAGGAGCTGATTTTTGGATTATCGGAACGCAACCTGGGACGCGAACATTTGAGAAATGACAAACGGCTCATTTCCGAGGACTCGCGCGCGTCTGCTTGACGCCGGGATGACCGGCTGCCCTCCCCGACAGGCGCACGGACGCGAGGGCCCGCTCATCACTGCGCGCACATGTGCGACCGCAGTTTTAATTTATTTTTTCTATTGCTTTGTTTCCCTCTATGTCTCTTTCGGGGTGGTGCTTCATAGTCAGTTCTCTCTTTATAGAAAGTCCTCAGTAAATGTCCACCAATACTAGCAATTTATGAATCGCTCCTACTGGCTCACCAGTGAAGTTTGTAAGCTGGAACATTAAAGGTAGAGATCCAGGGTATTTGCTCATCTGAAACGACTTAATGCAGACATAATGTTTCTACAAGAAGCCCATATGCGCTCCACAGACCAGGTCAGGCTTAAGTGTCCATGGGTTTCTGAGGTGTTCCATTCAAACTTCAACTCTAAGTCCAGAGGGGTTGCCATTTTAATTGGTAAGTCTGTTAATTTCACATCTTCCAAGTGTATAGCGGATGACAATGTCAGATATTTAATTATCTCAGGCACACTGTTTCATGTTCCTGTATTGTTAGTCAATATTTATGCCCCAAATTTTGATAACCCACACTTCATGAACAAGCTTTTTGAATGTCTTCCGTCACTGCATAATAACCTGCTTATATTTGGAAGGGATATGAACCTCGTTGTCGATCCCAGTCTAGATCGTTCTTCTCCTAAAACGCTGACCACATCACTCATGTCAAAAACTCTTTCTGATTTCATGTCCAAGAACGGCTGCAATGACCCCTGGAAAGAACAGCTGCGTTGACCCCTGGAGATTCTATAACCCCCGCATTAAGGAATATTCCTTCTTTTCTCATATGCACAAATCCTTTTCTCGAATTGATTATTTCTTCATCGATGCCAACTTATTACCAAAGTGTCGTCAGTTAAATATCACCCTATTGTAATTTCAGACCACGCTCCTCTTTCTCTGGATATTTGGATTTCACTACAACCACGATACTCAACGCTGTGGAGGTTTAATACTTTGCTGTTGTCAGATGACAAATTTAATACATTTATTGCAACTTCAATTGATAATTTTATTACAAACAATCAAAACGACAATGAACCCATCTCTTGTTCTCTGCTGTCGGAATCATTAAAAGCCTACCTACGGGGCCAAATCATCTCTTATTCTGCGCAATTAAATAAAACTCGTTCTGCCAAAATTAATGATATATCGTGCAAGATAAAAAAAAATAGATCAGCAATTAGCCATTTGTCTCTCTCCCAATTTACACAAAGATCGAGTTGAATTACAGACGGAATTTGATCTCATAACTACTAATGCAGAGCGCCTTGTTTTACGCTCACGTTCAACGTATTATGAGCATGGTGATAAGGCGAGCCGCCTTTTGGCCCACCAATTGCGTCGTCAGGCAACCTCACGTTTAATCCTCCAGATAAAAGATTCATCAGGCACGGTGCATACCGATCCTAGTACCATTAACTCAGTCTTTGGCTCATTCTATTCTTCTCTATACAAGTCTGAATCGCCATCCGACACTTCTGAGATGGGTGCTTTCTTTGACAATCTCAATTTCCCTACTATAGGTCCTGGTGTTTCAAAATAACTTGATTCTCCATTAACCTCAGATGAGATCTCCCTCGCTATAAATAACATGCAAAATAAAAAAGCTCCTGGCCCTATTTACTATTTACTTACTGTACTGAGTACATTTGGGCTGGGTCATATATTTATTTCATGGATACGCCTTCTTTATACATCCCTACAAGCTAGTATTTCCACTAATGGCTTTCAATCTCCTTATATTACTTTATCCAGAGGAACCCGTCAGGGATGTCCACTATCTCCTTTGCTTTTTGCGTTAGCCATAGAGCCTTTGTCAATATATCTGAGGACCTCAACCACTTTCACTGGGATATTGCGGCTGGGGATGGAATTTAAATTGTCCCTGTACGCGGATGATTTATTGTTGTATGTCTCAAGCCCCAGTAACTCTATACCAGCAATTTTATCTTTTCTTACAAAATTTGGTTCATTCTCAGGTTACAAAGTGAATATTTCCAAAAGCGAATGTTATCCTGTTAACGCTCTGGCATCACAATTGAACTAGTCCGATGTCCCCTTCAGATTGAGCCCCTCTGGCTTTATGTATCTAGGTATCAATGTAACAAGAACACTAAGTTCCCTTTTCACTGCCAATATCTCCCCTTTAATGTCTAAAATCAAGTCAGACCTTCAAAGATGGAAGTGTTTACCTCTGTCGCTTATAGGTAAAATTAACACTGTTAAAATGAACATTCTTCCTAAGTACCCATTTATTTTCCAATGTGTCCCCCTATTCCTACCTAAACATTTTTTTAAGACTCTTGATCAGGTTATTTCTGGCTTTTTATGGAATGGAAAGGCACCCATAATAAGTAAATCTACTACTACTACCAATTTAGGAGGCATTTTAAGTTTACTTCTGCATCCACTTTAGCTCCTTTATTGGGAAACCATTTATTCCGACCTGCCTTAGCTGACCCCACTTTCTCTGTATGGCATGAGAAGGGCCTGAGGACTTTTAGAGAGTTTTATAAGGATAATACCTTTCGTAGTTTTACTGATATATCAAGGGAATTTGAACTCCCAACATCTCACCTTTTTCGTTATTTCCAAATTAGACACTGTACCAAATCCCTGTTTCCATCCTTTCCCTCTCTACCCCCTAATCAAATATGGGATGAGTTTCTATGTTCCGATCCCCTTCAAAAGTCACTTATTTCAAAAATATATAACAAACTCCTGACCGATGACAGCTCACACACACACCACTAAAATCAAGGCTGCCTGGGAGGCTGAGCTAGGTGTGAGCTTGGGTGATCACTGGTGGGACACTGCTCTTAACAGGATTCATACGAGTTCATCCTGTGCTCATCTCACTCTCATACAGTTCAAGGTGCTGTACAGGGTTCATTTCTCAAAGGCACGATTGTCACAAATATATCCCACTGTTATTGACATCTGTGACAAATGTCAAGCCTCTCCCTGCAACCTATCCCATATGTTCTTCTCCTGCCCATTAGTGTTTTCCTTTTGGCAGAAGTTGAGGATATCTCAAAAATACTCACTCACTGTGAAAGTCTGTCCCCATATTGCCATATTTGGGTGCCCAGAAGATTACAACAGATACAACTCGGGGTAATTGGATATTCTGGCATTTACTTCGTTATTGGCAAGACGACTTCTTCACTGGAAATCCAAAAAAGCAGTACATACTACATTTAAATATATGTGATTTGGAATGGAGAATCAGTTTGGACCTCCCCATAACCATAGAAAACACAACTATAGATGAAAAAAAATCTCCAATATTCCCAGGTAAATACTATAAGTGTGAATTATTTTTAAAATATTTTATTAGGACTTTGTTTAGGAGCGCATTATAATGATTGGTCCTGAAGTCACGCTTTTGAAACCAGGGTCATCTGAAACGGCAAGTCCTGTGGGCGAAAAAAAAAAATATATATCTTAGCCACTTTATTCAAAAGCCATCGTCACATTTTATAATTTGAGCCAACACGTGTAAACCTTATTGTACATTACTGGATAATGAAATCAGCATGTATGAGAGCATACCCTTCATCGTGTTGTCCTGGTCTGAACACTGCACATCCACTGGATTTCTAACATCACAGATGACCACCTCACAGTGGACAAAGACCTACAAGATATGAACAGATTTAAGGGTCGTTATTGACAGCGTACTTTTGTTTTCCAAAATCTGAACATCAAAAAAACAAAACGAGACCATTTATTCTTATGACTGATAGTACCTGGCGGTTCAAGTTATCCTTGTCTTCAGCAAAGGCAAACATCGGGACCTCAAACCGCTTGAAGTTGGAAGGATAATGAACTCTGCCCTTAGGCAAAACAGAGTGGAAGATCACTGGGTCCCTTGAGTTTGCACAACTGATGGAGAAATTTATTTTATTTTATTTGGGTAAAGATGTCCTAAAGTCTGCAAAATGAGCCCCCTATGATTTTTAAACCATCCCTTTTCTACAGTTTGACAAACAGTTCATTGGGACAAGGAAAAAAAATATATATACACAAGTTACCCGTTAACAATGAGGTCCCATTGAGGGAGGGACATCTTGTCCTCCTCCAGCGTCGCCCAGCAGTGCGCCAGCTCAAGAGATACTTTAGGGTTGTAAGATCCCATCAGTTCCACCTCAAAATACAGCGGCTGTTGTAGGTACTTTGTGACGGGATCGTCCTCAACGCGGTGAAACACACTGTAGGAGTCGTCTGAAGTGAAGCAGAACATGTTGGCCCGAATTATTAAGGATTCAGACAGGAATAGAAACATTAAGGTACATAATGCAGAAGAGTTTAACTTGGATATAGTCAACATCCCAGGTGCCAACTCAGTTAATTGGTTTAAAGATTAACTTTATGAAAAAAAACATTCCAATTACTTAAAGTAACTAGATTCATATGAACTGTCTCCAAGTTACCCAAAATCCTGCATTTTGATAGAAAGTGTTATCCTGTCTCTTTGCATTAAGCTTTTTCAACGTGTTGACATGATAGAACTCTTATTTCCCCCAGTTTCTAGCTTTGGGAGGGTTTCCAAAGACTTCAAAAATAAAGCTAATCCTTAGCAAGCATGCGAGAAAAAGAAAGAAAAAAAATACACAAGGCCTGAAGAACTTTCTTTACCCAAAGCAACTCTCATTTCAACCTGCATCTCGCCTCGTGCATCATCAGCGTACGGTTCACTCCTGCGAGGTCGACTGTTGAAGCCCATAGCCTGGTTTGTGTTGATGTCATAGTAACAGAACACCTTAAGCCTGAAAGAAGAAGACTCTTAAGTGGGAACACTTAGAACTGTTAAATTGTTACCCATTGGCACCGTTAACATCTGGGATTGCACCATAGAAGGCTTTATGGCGTACCAGTTGACTTCTGATAAGGAAAATACCATTTAAGAGTCTTTACAGTTCTAAGTTTTGTCACGTGGTTAGCCTACAAAGTCTCTGCATTTGTTTTAAAGTTGGCGTCAGACTGTCAGTTTACATAATGGTGAACATGAATGTTTACGGCTACAAATAACTGATTTTTGAAATGTATTTTTTTGAAGTTTTCCCATCGAGTTACAAATATGGTTTTTGTAACTGAAAATAGGCCGCCTTTAACCGTTTTGCTCCAAAAACATGCAACTGTGAATAATGTCCAAGCTGAGAATTTCTCTTTTCTGACCAAAAGTCTAAAACCCAATGACCTGAAGTTTATCGGCAAACAGAAAGCATTAAAAAGCTGACATTTAGAAAACCGGAAGCCCTTTGTTAATTGATCTTCCATGTCATTTTTCAAACAGCTTTGATAATAGATTAATCATCCAACCTTCAGCTTGGTGATTCTAAGTCTCGAGATACTCACTCAAACTCCGGCTCCTTCGACTGTGACAGCTTTCCCAATTCAAGTTCATCTGTGATGGAGATTTCATTCTCATACAGCATCATATTGGGCAAAAACTAAGAAAAGACAAAAATTGAAAGAAGTCGTTTCTCAGTTTGAATCCTACCGCAATCAGCAAGCTGTTCAGCAGCATGCTTTACCTTTCTGGTCGTCCCACAGGAGTTTGCAGTGAAGACAAAATATGCGTACTGGTCGTTGCTGTATGTGGGGCCACAGGCGGGGTCTCTGAGGGTGAGCCGTCGGGGGTTCAGACTGGGAACAGACTCCAGGGTTATAGCCATAGCCGTGATGGTCCCATTAGGGAAACACTCTGAAAAAGACGATCAGACATTTGTATGCATTGGAGATTCAAGCCTACATAAGAAAACGTATTCTCTTTAACAAACCAATCAGCTTTGTGACGAAGTTGCAAGCCAAGGAGAAGTCTTGGATAGTTTTGTTGGTCTTCGGATATCTCAGAGTCACATCCAGTCTGCTCTTGATGGATGACGACGCAACAGCCTGAGAAGTTTTCAGAAACAATACATTATGATTTATAGAGGACTATCATCTTGACAAATGTTGCTAAATCCCTGCACATTTAAAACTTTGGTTAAGAGTCATACCTCAACCGTAGCATCAGCTGCAGAAGATGGTACAATCAAACTGAAATGTGTGTCGTTGCCCATGATGCCGTACTGCTGAGCCAGGCTCTCGTTCAGCATTCGTTTTCCCATTATGGTCTGAAAGTTGAATCCTTTGGTCCCGTATTTCACGAGGACATAGAAATTCTTATCATCACAACTACCTGAGACAGAGGGAGGAGCTGCAGAGGGAGGAAAATACTTTGAAACAACTGTGCTCATTTTGTTATGAATTCCTCTTATCCATGGGTACAGACCTATGTCTTCCAGTTTAGCTCTCAGATAAGCAGTGGCAGTAAATGGAGCATGCTTTGGCAGGACCAGGAAGCCAAAGGTCAGATAAAGGGTGTAAATTGTAACTCCCATTTCTTTCTGTTGGGAGAAACAGATAGTTATTAGCTGACAAAAGAAAAAAAGAAATGCATTTCCCACGTTGAGTGTAAGGCTCACCATTTGTCCTACGACACGGTCCGTGAAGGGCACTTCAACAGTATAGACCTTGGAGCAGCCGTTAGGGGACATGTTATCAAAGACTTTAAAGCCTCTGGCAAAGCAGTCGGCCAAGGACAAAACCCCATAGGGGGACCTGACGTTCTTTAGCATTACATCAAAGCCCACCGGCCCAATCAACGCCTTAAACATCATCTCCTTGGGAACAGTGGCTGTAGGTCAAAAATGAAGAAATTAAGGCAGGTTGCAATTGATGTAAAAAAGTAGCATGAGTACCAAGATAATATGACTCACCGTCAATGACTTGTGGAGGTTGAAGTTGCAGGGGGGTCTCGACCGGGAGGAAGACTTTGTATCTCGTGTCCTCATTAGTGTCGTCTTCAGTCCAGAGCAACTCGAGCATCAGCTCATTCATATAAGAAGTGAAGTACTGACCATCCTGGGCATGACTCTGCATAAACAAACATTCTGAGTAAGGCCTTTCCTGAATAACATTATCATCTACAGATTAAAAGAAAAAGGGAAATTTGTCTGGCAATGAAGCACTAGATGATGCAACAGTCAAACATACTCACACGATCCTTTACATTTGTTTTGTACATACCAACAGGATTTCAGTAGTTTTATTTTCCATGAAACACCAAAGTGTGAATGCTTGTTAAACTGTCTCTAAAGTCTAAAATGACTTTAATGTACCATTTAACTACGCCGATTTCTCCACTGTTGAGAAATTCTTTAGATCCAAGAAATATAAACATCTACATTTTGCCCTTTTGTAGAATTTCAGATTATTTTTTTTTGCATAGCTGCATGCATGACTAAAACGCCCTCGTCAATGTACGGACTAAATTGTTTTATCTAACCTTGATCTGGCAACCAGCAGCCCCAATAGGAATTTCAACAATGACGTAAAGGTCATCGAGAGTCAGGGAATAGCTTCTGGCCGACATCTCTGTAGCTTCGAGCTTCCTCCCATCGACGCCCATGTTCACCTCCAACAGTCTGAAGTGTTTCGGGCAAATCAGAGGGGCAATGCGCCTCGGCAGGAACCAGCGGATTGAGGTTTCAGTAAAGAAAACCCCACCTGTACACCAAAAAAAAAAAATACAGCACTTAGGGTCTAACATGGAAAGTTTTAAGGAAAAGGGCTAACGTTTCAGAAATAGTGAAATCCTCAAAACATTTTGACTGAACAAATGGTTAATCCTTCTTATTTTATTTAAACAATCTCAAAAAGGAGAATTCAAATTATGAATTTAGCAGCTTTACAGCGACATACAGTAACACATCCTTAAAGTGTCATTTAAATAAATAAAGCACTTCTTCCTAGATACAAATTCTGGTGGGAAAGATATTTTTGGCTGCATTTTTAGAAAAGTTTGATATTTAAAAAATGCTGGAATCAGAAATAATACTGGCAGATGTTTTTTTTAAATTCCTGACAGTAAAAAGTGCCCCAAATTCCCAGTGAAAAACACTAGAAGACATGACATCAGTGAGTCTCTTTACATTACCCTGAGCTTGAGGACAAGCGGCTCCTGCATAAAGTTGAGTCGTCAGCTTCGTCTTCTCAAATCTAATCGAGGTGCTGAGCACAGTCATCGGCACACCTGCTACCTGTGGGGGGAGATTACACAACATGTGGATGTAAATGCATACTGTGGTAACATAATAATTTCCCTCTTAAAAATATGGGGGGTTATAAATAAGAACTCACTGATTTAAGAGTGCCAACTAGATTCCAGACAAAGTAATCCTTTTGAAAGGCAGTCTGTATCTAAGCAAGTACCTAATGGGCTGCAAGTGATTCAACAAGTCTGCCTGAGGGGAAAGATATCAAGTGAGAGTTGTTTGAATCTCAGTGAACTGCAGTCCACTTACATCCTTGGTGTATGTTTCAGGTGAAGGATTTGGGCTTCGCAGAACCAGCCTGGTAGGAGTGCTTGAGATCCCATAACCATTTCTCTGGGCTTCGTCCACCTGCATGACCCTCTCCTCAGGAGTGAGGAACACCACTGTGGCGATTTTGAAGCCTGCGTCCATGGGCTGCTGTGAGGCAAATATCAAGACATTACATACAAGATGTTTCTAGAATAAGAAAATTTAAAAAAAAGGCAAAATTAGCCAATCTTACCTCAGCAGCTTTTCGGGGATCCGAGTCGGGGTATGCAGGCAGGTTATAATCATTTGGAGCTGCTTTTTTCACAGACACCTAGAAATGAGGCCACTCCATAAGTGATAATCAATCTCTGCAGTGACATGAAATGTACCGGCCTTGACACTTATACGAGGCATCAGGCCACTAATCATCTAGACGGGAACATGCCATGCTGCTTTCACTTGCCTCCATGTAGTTGGGTTTACAGATAATTTCCCGGGAGGCCCAGGGAGAGTAGTAGCAAGTTTCTTCCACCAGGTAAAACTTGTCTACCACATTGTCAGATTGTAGCCGCAGACGTAGTTTTGTTGTGAATGCTTTATCGTCCTAAAAATACATGGAAACAAGTCTCAAAATGAATTGCCACGTCAAAAGAAACATTTGGTGCTGCGTCACAAACTAGCATTCAGTCGTTTTTACCACATTTCGAGCAAAACAGTTTTGGACGGAGGCATAAATCACAGCGTTTCCCAGGTGGTCTTTCTTGATGGTGAAGCCACACTTAGAAGATAAACTTGGCGTGAGGATGATTGAAGAGTTATCTGAGGAAACAAATAAGAAAAGTTTGAATTAAAAGTTAGATTAAGTTAAGAAAAAGCAATATACTTGAAATGTCAGCTTACTTATGACAGCGGACACTTCAAGAAAACTTCCTCCAAGTCGACTGACATCCACACGCAGCAAGTTTCCAAGGCATTTAGAGTTTATCTCTGGGATTAAACATTTATATTAGATAGCAGCACACAAGTGTGTTGAAAAATATCACAAAATGACAAAAACGTACTTATTGGGGGCTTATTTTGTGCCTCAATGTTATCAACTGCTACAAGTAGAATGAACCACCTGAAAAAGATTGAATATGTTTTAAATGTATAAAGAAAAATAAACCTTAATTTAAAATATATACATAAAACTACAAACCCCAATCCAGCTAAACAACCCATGGCAAGAGTTGGGAGACTGGTGAAGGTCCCTGGTTTTTGCACTTTTTAAATGAAGTTGTTGAGGATGAGGGAGGGTCCTGCTCAGCAGATATAACCACACACAGGTGGAACACATTACTGCCTGATGAAGTGATTCAGCAGGCCTGTGTGTGTAATAGTCTGAAGGGAATCCCAACATTTAGGGCATTGAGGGGAGCAGAATGGCTGACTGGATGATGGGGCTATTTGGATGAGGGGAAGAAATGCCCCATACGTAATGGAGAATATAGAGCGATTAAAAAAGTGGAGAGGTGGTCATATAACTGGGGATTCAAAATGTCAGAAAGCAAGTCATGCTACATGATTGATGGCCAACAGTTAACACTATATGATTGTCCAATGACAAAGGTGAATGAGTTCAAATACCTAGGACAGTGGTTTGATAGCAAATATACATCGAAAATGCATATTAAACAAGTGGAAAGAAAATGCAAAGAAATATTAAATATATTACGAGCTGTAGCTGGATGCAACTGGGGCGCAAATAAACAAGCATTAATAGACATATACAGATCAATTATGAGGTCCACAATAGACTGGTTGTATAGTGTATGGAGCAGTAGCAAAAACATCACTATTAAAAATTGATAGACTACAATATAAAGCATTGCGGCTGTGTATTGGTGCGATAAAGTCATCCCTTATTAATGCAGTTCTGATAGAAGCAGGAGAGACACCTCTGGAAATCATAAGAGAGAAACTTGCTCTGTCGTACTGGGTCAGGCTACAAGGAAGTGGAGAGGAAAATATCACAAACAGAATACTACAGGTTTGCTTCGAATATACAAAGTTCCAGGGGCTTGGGTTTGGCTGGACAAGTAAGGAGAGAACGAGGGCATATGGAGTGGAGACCATAACGTTTGCCAAAGCAAGCCCACTTAGCAGTGTTCCCCCATGGCTTTTCCCAGAAGCTAATATAGATGTGAGTATCCAACCCAGTCTCACGGCATTTCGTGTTCACCAACACGATTTTGAATCTATTGATTCGTGTTCCCCAACACGATTTGCCCCTTTTTTTTTCGTGTTGCACAGCACGATTTATTTTCGTGTTTCACAGCACGATTTTAAAAGCAATGTATTTCTATTGCCTGCAGCACGTCTTTTTCTCCGGTCGGGTCGAGGAAGACCTGAAGCTGTGTGGTTCATAAAAACATGTTCTTACTCAATATCAAGCCACAATTATTGCTTTTATTTTAAATCGTATAATTTCGGACTTTTGTTGCCGTCTGTGAGGAAAATAAATGGGGCTCAGAGCCTCAGAATACTGAAATCTGTATTTTTACATATTTTTTTCCTTCTAATTTGTTATTCTTTTCAAAATAACACACTGTTATTTACTCACCAATAACACACAATTATCCTTGCTTTTATTTATTGGTTTAATTCCATAATCTCGGGCTTTTTTGGCGTCCGTCAAGGACTGAATTTCAAAATAAAATATCCGGAAACAGACGTAGGCCTATAAGGGACATTTCGAGCGTCATTGCGATTGTCAACCTTTCTGAGTTTAGGATGGCCGAAGACACTACACTACCCATAATCCCCAGCTATCGTTTAGGACTACAGTCCCCCGTAAGGTTACGCAGAGCGTCAAACAGCTGTGTGAAATGCAACCAAACCACGACAGACTATCCAAAACTGGAATCGAACGCCCCCCCCCCAGAACTACACATGCTGGATGCTGGCTATTGTGTTTCGCCAAATGTTCTATGGGACGTCTCTACTGAACGTTTTCGTTTTTCCCACAATTAGAAGTTGCCAGTATTAAACACATTGGCGTTATCAAATGTAAAACTATTATATATTATTTATTATAATTAATAAATGGGTGAAAATCGCTATATATACCCACATGACAGCTCATTGTTACTTTGTAATTCTACTCCACTACAATTCAGAGGTTAACCTGGTATTTTTACTCCACTGCATTTATTTGAGTTACTTTGCAGATTCTGATTAATGATGTGAAATATAAACAACCCTTAAATCAGACTTTAGTTACACCTGAGTAAAATTCAGGTAAGGTGATTGTCAAGTGCCAACAATCAGGAGAGATATTTGATAGTTGGTTCTTGAGAAGACTAAACATGTATCTGCAATTGACATGAATGGAAACGAGTAATAAAGTATATTCATTACTCGTTATTCTCTACTAATAGTTCATTAAAGACTGTATATTATGGCTGTTTTGCACATCCCTTTCAAGATTTTCAAAGGTTTATTGACATATCATATACACAACTACGGTGTAGTTATGCAATGAATGAAACACTTGGGTCACAGGTTCCTCAACAGTGCATTACAAGACATCTATCAATATGTGTGTCCCTCCACCATTAAACTGTCATATTCTGCACATTTCTTATTCTATCTACATACATACGAGTATAATTCATATGTATAATATCAGTTAAAATAAGTGCTTCAACATAGTTAACATTGCAGGAAAGCAATATATTAGACGTTAAGTACTTTGTCAGGCTTAATATTTATCTGTAGATAGATACCCCCAACGTTTTGTTCTTATTTAAAGTTTAAATAAAGGTTAATTCGTTTTTCTGTTTTGCACTTCCTCCTATTAATATCTTTGTACATGCTGCACTAAACTGTTTTATTGTAGAGATCACTTTATAGTATCTTCTTGATTTTTTATATTCTATATTTCTATATTTATACTTTCCCCCTATGAAACTATGTACTCTTAATATTTTTTTAATCAAACACAATAATTCAATAACGTGCTTTAACCACTAGATGCACACAAGGTACACAAATGTTTTCCGGATTTCATATCATATAAACACCAAATCCCAGCATGCATTGCGGCTAAAACATCCAATAAACGAGCTTAAAACCATAGCTGAGGATCTTGGGTAATGCCTATGTCCGGTTATTTTTATTTTGAAATTCAGTCCCTGACGGAGGCCAAAAAAGCCCGAGATTATGGAATTAAACCAATAAATAAAATCAAGGATAATTGTGTGTTATTGATGAGTAAATAACAGTGTGTTATTTTGAAAAGAATAACAAATTAGAAGGAAACAAATATTTAAAAAATACAGATTTCAGTATTCTGAGGCTCTGAGCCCCATTTATTTTCCTCACAGACGGCAACAAAAGTCCGAAATTATACGATTTAAAATAAAAGCAATAATTGTGGCTTGATATTGAGTAAGAACATGTTTTTATGAACCACACAGCTTCAGGTCTTCCTCGACCCGACCGGAGAAAAAGACGTGCTGCAAGCAGTAGAAATACATTGCTTTTAAAATCGTGCTGTGCAACACGAAAAAAAAGGGGCAAATCGTGTTGGTGAACACGAAATGCCGTGAGACTGGGTTGGAGTATCATAGAAAGAAAAAAAGAGTGGCAAATAAATGAAGTGGGAATTAAAACGAGTATGTACCTGAGCGAAAAGTATTACAATTACCTCAACATTTACACAGATGGATCTAAGAAGCAAGAATGCGTGGGGATAGGCGTGTATATCCCAGAATTCAAAATATCAATCTCAAAACGAGTGTAAAATAACGTATCAGTTTATACAGCAGAAATACTTGCAGCAATTATTGGGCTACAATGGGTTGAAGAGGTCAGACCTGATAGGTTGGTGCAGAGCCATATAATAGAAGAGTTATGTCATCTCCGTTCACTCCAATGGACCACTTTTTTACAGCAATGGCGGATCGTGGAGCCTCTCAATCGTTCCCCGGAAGTTAGCGCCAAGGCTAGCAGAGCTGTAGAGTTGCAGCATAATAGACCGTTCGTGACGGACTTTTAAAGGTAAGAAGAAGTTTAAAGATTTATATTGCGGATATTATCAGTACATCTGATTCAAATTAACATGTGTATTAAAGGATGTCAGTGGATTATCCCTAAATTAGTAGATTTAGGGAACGTTTACAGATAACAGATTAAGCTAGGATACCGAAGCAAGTTAGCAACAGACGTTGAAAAGCCTTTTAATTGTAAATTCCGTTCTCTTAATGTCATTTCGTCCAACGTTGTTGAATTAGAGAAGAGGGGCTTCTAAACGGGATTGTATGCGGGGGTGGAGGGAGTTAAATATTAGATAAATATAACTTTGGTGCGTGTAAGAGTGAGTGTTTTTAGCAGAGCCATATTGTGTCCTTGTGATTATGTTGATTATTACCTGTCTGTATAATGTTGCAGCTCAGCTGATTTTGGATTGATGGCAAAGGGAGAGGGACTTAAGTGAGAGTGAAAACACAAGGTAAGTTTAATACTACTGTTTTATATAAGTAAGCATACTAAACATGTATTTTCTCACTGTATTATATAAGTAATCTTGTTAGTAACCTACTGTATGGCAGGTGGAGGGGCAGTGATGTTACAGGTGGAGGAGCAAGACTGCAAACTCACAAGACAGAGAAATCAAAGTTTGTTCTCCAGAGAAGAGGTTGATTTCACTTCAATTTTTTATTTCATATTTTCTAAAGATGTGGAAATGGCAAAAAAAAACACTTGAGAGCTGTAACCAAGACAACTGTAACAACATGAGTATAGAGCCACCAAGGTTTTTCAAGTCCCTCTCTTACTTCATTTTGCCAACCCAAACTTCCAGGTACATGACGGGACACCTTGCTTGTTTTTGTTGTTTGCGCTCCTCTGGCTGGGTGCTGGCAGGTGGAGGGGCAGTGATGTTGGCAGGTGGAGGGGCAGTGATGTTACGGGTGGAGGGGCAGTGATGTTAGCTGGGTGCTGGCAGGTGGAAGAGCAATGTTTAGTCCAAATATTTCCATTGCAACGGCTAATGGAAATGATTGCAGCTGTGGATCTGTTTGAGGGTTGCTGGATGTGGTAGCTTGGCTGCTGTTGTTCCTTTTCACCTTTTTGGATTGGCTCTTGCTTCCAAAATGGCCATCTTTTAATTTTATTTTTTTTCTGTCATTTCTGATTTGTTTGGCCTCAATTCTCAGCCTCAGCCGTATGAATCTTTTTACGA